ATTCGCACTTGTTTGTTTTGCGGCTTGCCGTCTTGCTTGCGGGGAGAGCGAGTCCAGCGCGTAGTCAGCCTCTGTTTGTTGTGTTATAAATAAATTTAAAATAATAAATTAAAATAAAATTTAAGTTAAGTTGTAATTTATAAATAATTAAATAATATATTTTATAATTATTTATAAATTACAACTTTATTCTGTTTTGGTTCACACAACGGTGTTCCTTTTTTTTTACCGTCTAGTCAAACATAGCCAACAGCTTGATTATTTTATGTCGTATTTTTTAATTGATTCATTTGGAATTTTGCAAAGCCGAGGAAATGTCCGTAATAATTTCAGTGCGCTAATTAACTAGCATTAAGCGTAAACATTGGAAATGAAACTGAACTGTTTCCTCGTAACATTATATTTTTTTGTTTTTGTTTTGACTGCATTTTTAAATACTACTGCCGTGGAGTACATTACTACTGATTGATTTATTTGGATTAAAAATCTACTTAATTGTCAATTTAAATAAATAAAAAGGTTGATTAATACAATTATTTTTAAATTAAATATCCTCACTTTTAAATTAAAATAACTTACCTTTATATATTCTCGAAGAACTTCTGCAATAGCTCTGCATACAGTAGGTACAAATAGTGCAATACAACTATCAGAAATTCTAAACAGATACATTAAAACTTTTGTATGAATCTCCAGTTGCCAGAAATCGAAGGGTTAAAGCAAGTTTTGTTGATGCAGAAATTGGTTCTCTCATGTTGGTCGTCTGTTTCTTAATTAATGGGCTAACTTTATTCAAAAGTAATTCAAAGTCTGTTCGTGACATTCTAGTAAAGTTTTTGAATAATATATCATCTAATTCTTTACATAATGAAAATTTTGTCCTCTTTGCCAAAAACGATCGCACCCAGATACGCCTATTCCTTTTCTTTCTTTTTTGTTTTTGATTAATAATAAAAAAAGCACTACAAGCCGCCGCAGCAAGAACAATGTCGTCCATAGCGAGCGAAAACTGAAATGCTCGTGTATGACAGTATTGCCTAGTTGATGAAGTTGCGCCATATCGCTCAATATTGTATTGCGCAGTATTGATGCTTGTTGCCGTTGCCGTAAATTGCTTGATGTAGTCGTGACGTCATAATTGACGAGTATTGACTGGAATTGAGCAATTTGAGTTGCCCGTGTAAGCGCACCTTAAGCGCACCTTGACAGTTCGACAAACGATTGTTACATAGTATGTGCTAAATAATTTTATAGTTATTATTTTTATGAGACTACGTTTAATATTTAATGAGTTTCACCGCACTCCGTACAAACAATAATATCATATGGAATTATATGTAATTGTAAAATAATATATAAATAGATATGCAGAACATGATGCTCTGTAGGAAGTAGAGAATCGATCATTATACAATTGTATTCTCTTAGTGGAAACTAACCAAAACTTCCACGTACTTGGGTCAAGTTGTAGCGAAGATAATACATTATGCTGTACTTAGTCGGTTTTGCAATTCTGAGAATGTGCTATGATTAAATTTTCAACGCAGAGTTACGATATTGTTTGTGGAATTTTATTAGAACGTTCATGCTGTTATTTATTGGTGAATTAAAGAAAATACTTCATTAAATTTTTTTAAGATCTTAAATGAGTGACCTTTTTAAGAATTTATTTTCATTATAGGGTCTTTCATCATAGGGTTCCTTCATTATAGGGTTTTTAGTCTAGTCGACAAGTTGAAAATGGAACAAAATAGAGATACTGCTCTTAAAATTATGTGCGATAGCTCATTCGAACCGGAATGACGCCTAGAAAAATGTGCTAAAAGCGTGTATTAGCACATAAAAAATTGCAAAAGTTATAGACCATTAAAGATGAAAAAAAATGGAATTTAGTTTTTTGCCAATATTTAATAAACTATTAATATTTAAGAAATTTCAAATAAAGATTCTGAAAGAGGAGGAAATTTCCAATAAAAAACTCTCAGCTCCCGGAACTCTATCTCCATTATTTATAACTTTAATTTAACGCTGAAAATAGGTCTGTGCGTGACATTTTTAGGATTCGCGCGTGGCGTCAAAAGCGACTACGGCACATTAATTAATTTATTTAAGGTATTGAATATTTTTTTTAAATTTGAAAAAATTATGGTGTGTTCTGAACACTATAATTAATTTATTCCCGTTGGAAATTTTACTTAAAGTTAATTTTTCAACAAGTTAAATAATTGTTAACTAACGAAATTTTCTCGAACGACCGTCTTAATTGTAAGTGAAAAAAATGTTTTAATAATGGTCGTAAAAATATTTCGCTTCGTAGAGCCTTTCTTACATACATACTTAACAAGATCGTGCCATAAAAGTTAAAGAAATATTTATACTTTGTTTATAACAATTTTTTACTTAAACAAAAACTTAAAAATCCAAGTAATGTTGTTAAAAAATTTTTTTTTTTCTAAATCATCAAATTATCGTTTTTATATTAATACAAGATATTTATTGATTTGCAAAAAAAAATTTCCCTCCATTTGTTAATAATTTTTTTTAAACAAATTGATTAAATCAATTGTTTTAAAAAAAAATTTCTAACTTTATTACATTACAAATATTATGATTGTTTAAAAAAAAAATTTCCTTAATAACATATTTTAATTGTTTATAATCGTTTTTTTATATTTCTTTTGTTTAAATAATTAGTTAAGAAATTTTTTTTTTAAAAATCATAATTCACAATCCTCTATAAAGTAACAGAAAAAAATTTTTTTTAATCAACAATTCTATTGTTTATTAACTTACCAATTTGTTATAAACAAATGTTCAACTTTTTTATATTTTTTTCTAAAACTTCAAAATTAACAAAAACAACCATATATAACAAAGTCTATAAAAAAAAAAAAAAATTTTTTTAATAAAAGTAATATTCATGATAATCAAAAAATTTAAAAAAATGTTTTTCTATATTTTGTTATATATGGTTGTTTTTGTTAATTTTAGAAGTTTTAGAAAAAAAATATAAAAAGTTGAACATTTGTTTATAACAAATTGGTAAGTTAATAAACAATAGAATTGTTGATTAAAAAAAAATTTTTTTCTGTTACTTTATAGAGGATTGTGAATTATGATTTTTAAAAAAAAAAAAATTTCTTAACTAATTATTTAAACAAAAGAAATATAAAAAAAACGATTATAAACAATTAAAATATGTTATTAAGGAAATTTTTTTTTAAACAATCATAATATTTGTAATGTAATAAAGTTGGAAATTTTTTTTTTTAAAACAATTGATTTAATCAATTTGTTTAAAAAAAATTATTAACAAATGGCGGGAAATTTTTTTTTGCAAATCAATAAATATCTTGTATTAATATAAAAACGATAATTTGATGATTTAGAAAAAAAAAAATTTTTAACAACATTACTTGGATTTTTAAGTTTTTGTTTAAGTAAAAAAATTGTTATAAACAAAGTATAAATATTTCTTTAACTTTTATGGCACGATCTTGTTAAGTATGTATGTAAGAAAGGCTCTACGAAGCGAAATATTTTTACGACCATTATTAAAACATTTTTTTTCACTTACAATTAAGACGGTCGTTCGAGAAAATTTCGTTAGTTAACAATTATTTAACTTGTTGAAAAATTAACTTTAAGTAAAATTTCCAACGGGAATAAATTAATTATAGTGTTCAGAACACACCATAATTTTTTCAAATTTAAAAAAAATATTCAATACCTTAAATAAATTAATTAATGTGCCGTAGTCGCTTTTGACGCCACGCGCGAATCCTAAAAATGTCACGCACAGACCTATTTTCAGCGTTAAATTAAAGTTATAAATAATGGAGATAGAGTTCCGGGAGCTGAGAGTTTTTTATTGGAAATTTCCTCCTCTTTCAGAATCTTTATTTGAAATTTCTTAAATATTAATAGTTTATTAAATATTGGCAAAAAACTAAATTCCATTTTTTTTTCATCTTTAATGGTCTATAACTTTTGCAATTTTTTATGTGCTAATACACGCTTTTAGCACATTTTTCTAGGCGTCATTCCGGTTCGAATGAGCTATCGCACATAATTTTAAGAGCAGTATCTCTATTTTGTTCCATTTTCAACTTGTCGACTAGACTATTTCTGTTTAACAAAATAGTAGTATGTGTGATTGTAAATGCAATAATTTATTACAATGCTTTTTAATAGGTATTTTATGGGTAATTTTAACTTGGCGTTTATTGCCGTTGTTTTTGTCCGTTCTACACCCTTGATTTGAGATGTGAATTTAGTTTCTTTTTTGCGTATGTGAACATTGTGGCAGTTAATAAGTTACATTTAAAATTTACATTCGGCATCGACAACGTTGAAAAGGTTTGATTTGAAACTGCAGGTACTAGATGTTTGAATTAAATTCACCATCATAATATTCCTGTTAATATAAAAAAGTTTCACCCTTTCTTTAAATAGAGTTAAATTTAAGAAGCTTCGCAAAATTTAGCATCGTATTTCATGTTTTCTGCAAAATACATTTTAATATTAATAATGTAAAAGACGATTGAATGAGCAATATATGAGGTACATCAAAGATATTCGAGATTCACCAATATTCAAAATGCTTTGAATTATTTCTTCTCTATGGTAACATGAGACACGGTTTCATGTGGATTATTTTCTTTGAGGAAAATGTATTTTCATTTACGAATTATATTGGGCTAAATCTTTCTGTGTCATGTAAAATTATACTTACTTCTTTAGTTATGAGTTTAGGTTTTGTACATAAAATACCTAATTACGACCTCACAAAATGCGTTAAATATGTCATAAAGTAGTTTAAATAAAAGGTCTGGGTTATGCAATATAGTCTAAGGATTTATTTTAACGTACCTCTGTCATATGTAATAGGTTATTATTGAGTGATACAGCTATATATTGTATGAAGTATTTTGTTTAATTGTTTCAGATTTCGCATGTAAAACACACCGTAAACAATGATCTGAGAATAATTTAAAGACATGGACAAGACCAAGAAAAAGAGTCATGTCAATGGAAAATACAAGAAAACTAAACCAGATAATTGTGACGATACTGTAACAACGTGCTGCTTTTGTATAAAAACTAAAAAAAGTAAAAAGAAAAGCCTTATAGCTGGATGTATAACAAATCTCGGAATATTTATAGTTCTTCTCATTTATACCTTATTAGGGGCATTTATTTTCTTAGCTATCGAAGGAGGTGCTGCTAAAGTACACCAGAAAACTTTAGCGACTACATCTTACCAAGCTACTGAAAGTAAGAAACCTATTGCCCTGTCTAAAGTAAATAATAGCATCGCCCAAGCATCAGCTGAATTAAGATCACAAACTGTAGAGAGTATATGGGAGATAACGGTTTCACTAAACATTTTATATAAAGAAAATTGGACAAGACTTGCAGCTCAAGAAATTGCGAGATTCCAAGATAAATTGGTCGCCAGAGTGACTGCTGATGTAACTGAACAGTATGGAGGTGCAAGAGCTTTGGAGTCAGCACCAGCTCTTGTATCAGATGACTACGAATGGAACTTTTCTAAAGCATTTTTATATTCACTAACTGTTCTTACTACTATCGGTGAGTATTATGCGATATGTTAAATTTTTACAAATATATATAATATATTACCTTAGTTCTAATCTGTTTATTTTTTGTTGCAGGCTACGGTAGTGTGGCTCCTAAAACTGCATTAGGCAAAATAGTCACTATAGGATATGCCGTTGTAGGTATACCTTTAACGCTTCTATATTTATCAGTGGTTGGAGCTCTCCTATCTAGAGTAGCCAGAAGCATATTCAGTAGAACTCTGTGTTGCTGTCTTTGTGTCAAGTGTGGGTACTGCTGTCTCGACGAAAGTGCAATCACATCAAAAGAAAGGAAGGAAAAAGTAAGACGACCAGAAGATTTTAGAACTCAAACTTTGCACCTACAAGAACCTTATTACGTTCGATCACCATCTGGTACAATTATATCAGCATCCCAAGCTAACAGCCTTAGCACAAATTCTATAAAAGATAAAAACGTGGGATTAAATTTTCTCAGAGATTGTGATTCTATGAGTTGTACAGATACCGATTCAAAGGTTTCACTAAGTGGTTTTTCAATTCTCGCTCCAATTTCATTATGCCTAGCTGCTATTTTCACTTACATTTCTTTCGGCGCCTTCATTCTCTATCAGCTGGAGGGTTGGAGCCCAGTAGATGGAATTTACTTTTGTTTTATGAGCTTGAGTACAATCGGTTTCGGTCACTTAGCTCCTGGTATGACTCAAAGAAACGGTGCATCATCAGGTACAGTTTGGTTCTGTTCCATTTACATTATAACTGGTCTCGCTCTGACTGCTATGTGTTTTAATATACTTCACGATGAAATAGTTCATCGACTGAGACATCATGAAAAAATTATGAAGAGTGCTACTCAAAAAGTGATGACACCGGAATTCCTACAAAGGTCCTGACGGGATGAGAGTGGGAACTTAACTGATGACTCAATGCTTTCTTCAGACGGAGAGGCGTTACCAGAAGTTTTGCACCACGTGTCTAGGTCTAGATTTAATGGCGGAGCGTTTCGCCGATCTGTATACACATTGAAAGAGGAGCCGGAATCCGATAGAACAAGTTCAATGTAAGCAGCATTCATTTATACAAGAAAGAATATCATATATAACAATATTGTTTTTTAATCATAGGTTTTAACAATTAAAGGAATTCAGAGGACTGAAGTGTTGATAACTATTATTATATAAGCAATTAGTGCCAAAATACTAAGTATGTATGTAAAACGGATGTTACTTGCAGAGAGAAGTTTTAAACAAGAACTTAACATTAATGTGTTGTCTTTTAGGGAATTGATTTTAATACACTCTACTGAACTTCATTGTAAAAATAGAAAATAAATCCTTGAACTATTTAAATATTTTGCAATATGTTAGGCTAAAATCACTTCACATTTTTTAATCTGTTACGGAATTGATTTTAAAGTGTTTTGATAGTTTAGGAGTTTAGTTGAGAGTGCGTGCGGTTTTTATTACATGACTAAAGTCATTTTTGTGCAATTGACACGTAAAAATATTAAACTTTTAAGAAATAATGTTTATTTGTTTTATTATTAATTCCTTATTTTTACAATATAACAACCTAAAACATACGTGTCTTTGTCTTCTATTAGTCGTTCGATTGAAGTTTTTATTGCAACATTTTAACGTGTAAAAAAGTGTTTATGTAACGATGAAGTGATAGCAATACGTTTTTGGGAAATCCCATTTACAGACACCCGCGCCGAGCCAACTCGGCCCGGTTGGCGTAATGGAACCAGCCCCCTTCTACTTGAGGCAGGGTAACAGCTTTCCCTTATTCATGTCGTATGAGTGTCTACTGCACATATGTACAATCCATCTCATAAGTTGCCAATTTCGGTAGGTAGTGACAGCAGAGTAGAGGCGTAAGCGCCCTTCTAACCCACTCTTAACTCACCACCATAAAATAAATACATTTTAATTTATTCAACTGGTGTTAATACATTTCCTAAAGTGTAGTTCCTTTTGTAAAATTGTATATTTTTAAATGATATAAAACTTCGGTCTTAAATCTGTAGTAGTGTATATCCAAATATATACTTTGAATTAATTACATCAATACCTACAGCTCATACATTTTATTTTCATTTCAGTTTGACTCATAAATTCAACATATGAACATCATTTATCATGACACTTTCCACATTTTTCATTGAATAAATTCAGTGAGGTTTTTTAAAAATGATAGCATATTAATTCAGAGGCAAATATGTGTGTACTTAGTCACGTTTTGCCGAGTAATCTTTTATGTAGGCGCTGGATTTAACATTTGACGCATTCGAGTAGCGGTTTTTCATAAAGTTGTATTGACCTGTCCACCGAAAGTGGACAAACACGTGTTACCTATTGGTGGACAAACCTATTTAGCGGTGTATTTTATTATTAAAATTATAGTTCCATAATGGAACACATATTGTTTTTATTGTAGAAATTATTACGTCGAGTACAGTTAATATGTCAAATAGAAGACACTAGGACACAGGGAATCCTACTGTGGGGGCTAATGCACATTCTCTTTTTACTAAACATCCGTTTTTATTTTGTGTAGTAAAGCGTCTTCTTTCTTTCTTTTTTTTCTTTATATTTGCAACCGTCATTAGTGCTAAATAAACTCTCGGTATTTCAGAATAGCATAATTATTTTTCTAAGCAAAGGTATATCCAAGTAAAATAACTAGTAAATTTTAATTACTTAAAAAAATAGTTTTTCCTATACGTGCATCGATTATTCAATAATGCATTTAATATATATTTATTTTTACTAAAATATAATTAAAAATCTCGACCAACACGTTTAATTAATTTTTTATTCAAAATTGTTATTAAATCTACTTACTGACTTTACTTCACACATTAGTTTGTAAGGCCACAAAATCGCCTATTAAATCGTTATAAAACTGAACATCATAGTATCTTTAAGTTTAATTTGAAAATGTTCACAGTAATTTAAAATATTCCTAACATAACATTTACGTGCCTGAAACTGCGCGACCCGCATTGCAATGGCTTTTAACTCGATGTCATATGTGGTTATTGCTTACGTGAAAACTATTATGGTGACATTTAGTAAAGTACACAACGTTTTTATCAATTATATGTTGGTCTTTTTTCCAGATTTGGGGAATATATTTTATAAGTGTTTATCCAAGTGAATTCTTGGTTTGCAATAATACATATATGTATATTTCTGAATGATCCAAATGATTAACTGTATTTGTTCCATGAACTTATTTTGTCGTATATTTGTGTCTACATTTCACCAAACAAAAATATTTTAAACTTAAGGAAAACATTTACAATTAGGAGGACTCGAGGAGCTGACAAAAATGGCGGAACATTTTTTCTAAAGTCGCTTTTCAACGGGCGCTGCAGGGCCACATAGCCACCATACATACATCACGGGTACAGGGTTAATTTCTTGAAGGTATTACAAGTATATTCACATGAGTTTTTGCATTTATACATACAATATTACATGTATAGATATTACGCCTATCTACAATTTTATATTTAAAGTCCTAGAATACAAGGTTGCCTATATAATGTGGGTTTCTATTGTGTACTCACACAGTCATCTTTTTTCATACAATAAACAAGATAAGTCCGATTTTGATATAGTTCGTCGTTATTTTGTATAGTTTACGTTATTAATACAAAATTGTCTAGTAAATTATAAGGTTTAGGAGATAAGATAATGTTTGTAATTAAAAAAAAACAAACGTTACCGGCTCTGCTGCACATAAAATACCCGTCCGTTTAAAACAAAGGAACTATAATAATTCAGAACACAATAGTGGAATATTTTCCACAATCAGAAATATGTAATATATCAAGATGAAGCGCGGTCTACCTTGTGGCAAGCTTTTGTTCAACTACGTTCTTCCTCCGGAACATCATGCAATATACTGACCCTGTGTACTATTGTTTCGTATATTTATTACATTTTATATGGTATACTATTTCCGATCTAAAACCTAGTTGTTTATAAGTTACTAGCTGACCGGGCAAACTTCGTTTTGCCATGTATATCATTTATAATAAAAAATAGGGGTTGATCGTAGAGGGGTGAAAGTTAGGGGTTGTATGTATTTTTTAATGTTTTGTCATAAAACAGAAAAAAATATCTAAAAATAAAAAAAAAATTTAGGGGTGGACTACCCTTAACATTTAGGGGGATGAAAAATAGATGTTGTCCGATTCTCAGACATACCCAATATGCACACAAAATTTCATGAGAATCGGTCGAGCCGTTTCGGAGGAGTTTAACCACAAACACCGCAACACGAGAATTTTATATATTAGACAAGTGAGTTATTGTGAGACCTGAAATTATATGGAATAACTTTCATTGTTTATGCAGTCCTTATCTTTAGACAAGACACCTGCCAACTTCAAAAACCTACTCGCAGGATTAGAAAAAGATTTTACTTTAGCAAAAGTTTACATCGCAGGATGGTAAGCTTTTCTAGAGAAAACAACACCTGAAGATAGAAAGGCTCAATACCTTATTGTTTGACCTGAAAACGAACGTAGCACCTCCGGGTTACATGTGCCTTAATGACTAAACCATTGAGGGGGTAAAGCAGCATGGAAATCGATACGACTGAGCAATCAGTCTGCTACAAACTTCGTCTATTATTAGATTACGTATGTACGTATTACTTGAAACAACGCAAAAGAAGTAAAAGTAAAAAAAATCATTTAATCATATAGGTAAAAATCATTTAATGTACACTTATGACTCGTTAGTAAAGGCTTATATTAATGCTTCTAATTTTACATTTACTGCCAGTTCTCAAATCAAGGGCGTAGAACGGAAGAGGAGAACTGGCAATTAGCTCTCCGCCACTCTTTTTGATCGCCATTTTTTTTACACAACGTTTGTAAGGAGCTGTAACCATTACACCATGTTCCACATGACATATTAGGTAAATAATAATAACATAAATTAAAAAAATAAACAAAGACTTGTCCTCTATCAGCAGAAGGCATGGTGAAATAGGAGCACGCACTGACATTCTCGTGGGAACAACACGAAGACTTATACATAGAGAATACAAATATAGATAATATTTGAGAACGTACACAAAAGCTTTTGTCTGTAGATTAACCTTCCCTCAGTACTTACGTATCTTTGTATTTATTTCAATGCGTTTTAAAGGTTAACCATCTCAGCACTAAATCCATTGTAGATCGCCGATCTCATTATGCAAAAGACTAAAGAGGAAAGAAAGGGGATTTCCCACTTTATGATCCTTTTAGGGGGGAATAATTTACCGATAAATATCTCGAGACATCTCTGTTTATCGTTTAGATTCAGCTGATTCCGTTATCGGTTTTAAACCGCCTTTATTGTGTACGTTGCCCGCGACTTTGCGTTATTAAACAATGGATTATAACCGCGTAAGCACAATTTAAAGCCTATTTTTTATTAATTTATTATTATGAAAGGTTCTACGAATAAATGTTGGTGAAATAACAATTGTTTCGCTTTGTTAGTTGTTATTTGTCTCAAACAGATGCAGAAATGTGTTGTTTCAAACTAAGTGATAGATTAGCTCGCAATAGTGTCTATATCTCACTATATAGAAGGTATAGACGAAATATTTATTTAATAAATACATTATATTAACAGATAACAAGTAATTTTTATTAATATCTATATAAATTTTACGTACCTAACATTTTCTTATATGTACAGACGTCAGCTGGTACAATTTTATAATAATATATATTATGTTGTCTACAATGTGAAATGAAAATTCTAAGTCTTCTTTCTTTCAGGAAAATAAAGGGAAAGTTTGAGTCGTGAATTCAAAGCTGGTGTATAATTTTATATGTGTTAGAATGGGAAGCTTTAAGAGCTTTTTTATTGCAAGAAGT